AGACACTTTCCATTAATATGTCCACATATGTGCACACATGAAATGGGCCTTCCCATGCCTCCCACACATGCAGTCAAGCTGCCTCAAACCACACAAACCCGCTCCTTGTCTGTGTCTCCATACTGCAGTCCCCAGGCCCAAGCCCCTTCCCAACACAGCCCTCTCCAGCAGTCTCTACCACCTGTCTCTTGCCTCCTGAGCCTCTTTCCGACCAGCTCTCCTCCCCTCCCCAGAGCCATGCCCCAGTCCAGTCTCAGCCCAGCCCAGCTGAGTCTCTCCACAGAAAAACACTTGATTTTTTGAGATATAATTCACACAACAGAAAATTCATCCTTTTAAAGTGCACAACTCAGTGGTTTATAGCATATTCACATTGTATAACCATCACCACTATCTAGTTCTAGAATATTTTTGTCACCTCAGTAAAACCTCATATCCATTAAGCAATCATTCTCCATTCACTCCTCCACCTAACTCCGGGAATCTATTAATCCAGTTTTCCTATGGATTTGCTTCTTCTGGACATCTCAAATAAATAAAATCATACAATATGTGGCCTTTTGTGTGTGATTCTTTCATTTAGCATCAAGGTTCATCCATAATGGAGCATGGATCAGTACTTCATTCCTTTTTATGGATGAATAATAATCCACTGTCTGGATACATGACATATTGTTTATCCATTCCCCAGTAGTGGACATTTGAGTTCTTTCCATTTTTTGGTGTTCATGCATAATGCTACTATGAACATTTGTGTATGAGCCTTTGTGTGGGCATGTGTTTTCCATTCTCTTGGGTAGACAGTTAGGAGTGGAATTGCTTGGTTATATGGTAACTCTATGTATAACTGTTGGACAAACTACCAGGCTGTTTTCCACAGCAGCTGCACCATTCTACATTGCCAACAGCAACACAACAGAGTTCCAGTTTCTCCACATTTTCACCAACACTTGCCATTTTCCTTTTTTTTTTTTGGTGAGGAGATCAGCCCTGTGCTAACATCTGCCAATCTTCCTCTTTTTTTGCTGAGGAAGCCCAGCCCTGGGCTAACATCCGTGCCCATCTTCCTCCACTTTATATGGTACACCGCCACAGCATGGCCTGCCAAGAAGTGCGTCGGTGAGCGCCCAGGATCCGAACCAGCGGACTCCGGGTCGCCGCAGCGGAGCGCGAGCACTTAACCGCTTGCGCCACCAGGCTGGCCCCATTTTCCTTTTTTTGGATTATAGTGGTCCTATTAATTGTGAGATGCTATCTCATTATGGTTTTAATTCGCATTTCCCTAATGATTAATGGTGTTGAGCCTCTTTTCCTTTGCTTTTTAGCCACTTGTGTATCTTCTTGTAGACATTTCTATTTTAATCCTTTCACCATTTTTTAATTAGACTATTTGTCTCTCTAGGGCTGGATTATAAGAGTTCTTTATATATTCTGGACACTAGACCCTTATTGGATGTATTTTTGCGATTTTTTTCCCATTCTATGGGTTATGTTTTTACTCTTGATAGTACACTTTGATGCACAAAGTGCTAAATTGTGATGAATTCTAATTTATCTATTTTTTTTCCTTGGTTGTTTCTACAAAACCACCACTTTAGACCCCTCTATCCACACTCCACACAGCAGCCAGAGGGAACTTTCTAAACTTAACTAATGTCCCCTCCTGCTCAAAACAGTGCCATATGTATAACTTAAGACAGTGCTTCTCCAATCAAATATGCAGAGGAAGCACCTGAGAATCTGATTAAATTCAAATTCTGATTCGGTAAGTCTGGGATGGGACCTGGGAATCAGCATGCCCACCAAGCTTCCAGGTGATGCTGTGACAATCTGTGTTTTCTGAAAATGACCACAGCAATTTTTCCTGTCCCACATACTTCCAGAACCTTGCACTCCCCCACAAAGAAATGGAGCCCATTTCCCCTTCCCTTGAACTTGGGCAGGACTTTGTGATTGCCTTAACAAGTGGAATATGGGCGAGTGATCACATGGCTAATGAGGCCTGGTCCTACAAGGTGATAAGGCTGCTGCCTGGCTCTCTCTGTGCGACACTTGCCTTTGAAGCTTACCCACCACGCTGTGTGAAAGCCCAATCCAGCCACGTGGAGAGACAACACAAAGAGGAACAGAGGCCCCCAGCCAGCAGCCAGTGTCAACTGCCACACAGGTGAGTGAATGTGCCTTCAGATGATTCTAGCTGAAGCTCAGTAACTCATCCTGGAGCAGAGATGAGCTATCCCTGCTGCTGCAGAATTGTGAGAAAAATAAATGTTGCCATTTTTTCAGAAGAACTGAGTTTGGGGTTGTCTGTCATGCAGCAGTGGACAGCCGTAGCAACGCTGACACTGCTGGTCCATGGACCACACTTTGAGTAGCCGAGGGTTGGGTCACCAGATCACTTGCATGTGCTGTTGTCTGCTTGTTACACTCTTCCCATTCTTCCTTTTCTTGGCTCATTTTTACTTCTTCCTTCAGTTCTCCTCTAGGAACACTTTCCTGATGTTTCAGGCTGGGCCTGTTGCCTCATCTGAGTCCCTTCAGTCAATTGCGCTCCCTCATCTCAGCCATGACCCCACTGCCTGGCAACCCCATCCTGGCCCTGGTCATCATGGCTGTTCCCATGTGGTGAGGGGTTTCTCCCCCTCTGCTGGCCTGAGAGTTCCAGGAGGGCAGGGCTGATCCTGACTTGGGCATTGCTGGACATTGCTTGCTCAATGTGCTGCTGAGGACGGTACCAGTGGGGCTGGCCACATCCACCCTAACTCCCTGAGTGTCTCCCATAGATGTCTCCTCTGTGTCCCAGGCCATGGCTGAAAGCAACTCCCACCCAGACATCAGGGGCCACCCCCCCATGCTGTCCTTGAATAGTGAGCATTCCCTCCCACAGCACCCCCTCCAAGTCTCCTCTCAGTGCCTCTCTCACAGGAGTGAATCAGACCTTGTGGCCATGGACCCTCACTTCTTCAGCCCTCATGACTCCCACAGCCTGGATGTAGCTGCCCCCAGCCTCCTTCTAGAGTGCAAAGTGAGGTAGAGGAAGCTCTGACCATTTGCACACTCTTGGGGTGTCTTTCACCTTCCCTGGGTGCTGGGGTTGGACTTCCAACATCCTCTCCTGACTCCCAAAGCAGAGGCCTCAGCAGCTGCAGACCTGGATAGGGTTGGCAAAGAAGGACCAGTTTGGGGATGGAGCCTGAACCCCTAAGCCCCCTTACACACACCTCCAGACTTGGGAGACTCCACTGGACAGAAAGCAGCAGGCTACTTTTGCAGCTGTTGTTGTTTTTGTGTGTGGGGAAGCTTAGCCGTGAGCTGACATCAGTTGCTAATCCTCCTCTTTTTGCTGAGGAAGATTGGCCCTGGGCTCACATCTGTGCCCATCTTCCTCTACTTTACATGGGACTCCGGCACAGCCTGGCTTAATAACTGGTACGTAGGTCCACGCCTGGGATCGGAAACTGCGAACCCCGGGCTGCCAAAGCAGAGCACGCGAACTCAACCACTATGCCACCGGGCCAGCCCTAGCAGGCTGTTTTTAAGGAGGAAGTCCCCACAGACAGGGATTCAGCACCTCTTCTGCCAACATCTCACTTCTCTGGAAACATCCTTATTCCCAACTAGACAGTGCTTCAATGAAGCACTGCAAATATGACAGAGTGTGTTTGCCCTCACTGGGAGCAATGGGTTAATGAATGTCCAAGTGTCTCCCCTGAAGAGTTGTCTCTCCTCAGCCTGGACCCTCCATCTGCTGACTCGGGCATCTTTTCTACAAACGTGGACCTGGGCAATAGTCCCATGTGCAGCCCTGCTTCTCCTCTGCAGCCATGCGCAGTGCCAGCCTGTCTCCTGCAGGGGGAGCTCTGACACATTTGCATCACATCCGGGAACATCCATGAACCCTCACTGCTCATCTGCTCACACCCACATGCCATTTTCAATCGTCTGAAAAGGTGCTGTGCGATAGAAATACAGTGGGAGCTACATGTGTAAATTTCTACCAGGCATATTTTAAAATGTAAAAATAAACAGATGAATAAGCACAGGAAAAAACACTCAACATTACTAATCCTTAGGAAAACACAAATCAAAACCATAGTGAGATACCACCTCGTGCTCATTAGGATAAAAAAAAAAAAAAAAAATTGTTGGCAAAGATGTGGAGAAATTGGAACACTTGTGCATTGCTGGGGGGATATAAAATGGTACAGCCCCTGTGGAAAGCAGCATGGTGGTTCCTCAAAAAATTGAACAAAGAATTACCATACAACCTGGCAATCCCACATCTGGATATATACCCAAATGAACTGAAGGCTGGAACTTGAACAGATGTTTGTACACCCTAGTTCATAGCAATGATATTTACAGTAGTGCAAAGGTGGAAACCCAAGTGCCCATTGACAGATAAATGCATAAACAAACTGTGGTGTGTACATACAATGGGATGTTATTCAGCCTCAAAAAGGAATGAAATTCTCACACATGCTGCAACATGATGAACCTTGAAGATATTATGCTAAGTGCAATAAGCCAGACTCAAAAAGACAAATGCTGTACGGTCCCACTCATAGGAGAGTCCCAGAGTATCAGATTCATAGAGACACAAAGTGGAATGGTGGTTGCTGGGTGCTGGAGGAAGGGGACTGGGGAGTTGTTGTTTCACGGGGACAGTTTCAGTTTGGCAAGATGACAAGAGTTCTGGAGATGGATGGAGGACATGGTTGCACAACAATGTGTATGTGTTTAACACTACTGAACTGTACACTTAAAGATGCTAAAAATGACAAATTTTATGTTATATATATTTTACCACAATAAAAAAAATTAAAAGAAACAGGTGAAATCAGTTTTAGTCATATTTTTATTTATCCCAATATACTCGAAATACTATCATTTCAATATGTAATTAATTTTTAACATTATTGAAATGTTATATTCTTTTTATCATACTAAGCCTTTGAAATTTGGCATATGTGTCACACTTACAGAGCACCTCAATAAGGGCTAGCCACATTTCAGGGGCTCGATAGCCATCTGCCCGCATCTCCATCATATGCGCAAAGACCCACATCTCCTCTGCAACCCACCTGCGGCTCCTCTGCAAATATCCCTAGAGTTTCTCTGCCAACTTCCCACATCACCTGCAAACACACCCACAGCCCACAGGCCACCCCTCAATTTCATCTCAGACATCTTCAGGGAAAGCACTTGCTCAAGGAACAGGAGTTGACTCCAAATCACCATTTACACTTGATTTGACCTGAAAATCGCCCCCTCTTCCTTGCATAAACTTGCATCTCATTCCTGTGTCAGTCCGAAGCACACTGGCAGGGCCTCAGATGGTCATCTCAAAGTCAGGGAGGCGGTGAGACTGGGTGGGGCAGGAGACCACCAGGTGTCCTTCCTCCTGCTTCCCCTCGGGCTCTTCATCCTCCTCCTCCTCCTTGATGCTCTCCTCCTCCTCCTCCTCTTCCAGGAAGGTGACCAGTTCCTCCCGCAGCACCCTCATCTCCAGCCCTAGGCTGCACAGCTGGCCCAGCAGCTGGACATCCACTCGGCGGAGGTTCCCCTGCCAGTGGGAAGGGCAAGTCATGGGCATCCCACCACAGAGGGAAAGGGGTTAGGCTGCCCCCTTTCCCTTCCAGAACTTGGGTGGGAGCAGGTCCCGGCTCAAGTCCTGACAAAGATTCTTTGCTTGACCAAACATTAGTCAGGCTCCTGAACCTTCTCCTAGGCCCATCTGCACACCTCCTTGCCAAATCCACTTTTAGCAAGAATCCTCTATCCTCCCCATCTGATCACCCCCCATATCTGATCAGGTTCCTCACCCTCCATCATCCACGGTCTGATCACCTGGCCTACCTCCACCAAGAATCCTGTTAGGTCATTTTACCAGAATTCCCCGTAATCCTGATGTGTCCTCTTAGTCATTTTCCATCCACTGACCCCACCCTGCTCCTTGGCTATAAATCCCCACTTGCCCAAGCTGTATTCAGAGCTGAGCCCATTCTCTCTCCTCTACCCCAAAATCTCATCACTGTGATCCCTACAGCTAAGGCCTTACCATCTTTAAAGGTGTCATAAATATTTTTTCTTTAACAATCCAGGCCCACAGCACCTGGACAGGGTCCCCACTGTGTCCCTTGACCCTAACTGCCATCCTGCTTCTCCCAGTGTCTCTTGATCTCTGCCTCTGTCTCTGTTTGTCTCTGCATTTCATTGTCCCTCACTGTCTCTACCTCTCTCTCTGTGTCTCTGAGTCTTAGTCTCTTCATCTCTCTTATGTCTCCCTCTCTTGTTATCTATCTGTCTCTCTGTCTCACCTGTCTGTCTCTGTCTCTCTGTCTCTGTTTCTCTGCCCCTGCCTTTGTCTCCATCTCTCTCTGTCTCTCAGATTTAATCTGAATCTCTCTGTGTCTGCTGCTGCTCTCAATCTCTGCTTTCCATCTCTTTCTGGGTCTGTCTCTGTCCCTCTCTACTCCTGCCTCCCACTCTTTGGGTCTTTCTGTGTCGCTGCCTGTCTCCATCTCTTTCTCGCTATCTGTCTCTGCCCCTATTTCTCCCTTCCTGTCTCTCAATGTTGGTCTTCAATGTCTGGCCCCTTCTATTTCCATTCATTCCCATTCATTCATCCATTCTCTCTCTCTCCCCACCCCTCATCTCTTTCCCCTCCAAACCTCTCACTCACCAGCTCCTCCCAGATCCACAGCAGACTCTCCCTGGCACCTTTGGTGTCTACCGCTGGGGACATGAGGGTCTGCCCAGCCCTCCCCACTGGGGGGATGCCCCTCAGGGCCTGGGGAGGTGGGCCCAGTCCCGGGGGCACCAGTCCAGCCTGCCAGAGCTGCCTCCACAGCTCCATATCTCTGAGCAGTGGCAGCCAGGAGCAGGAAGTAGCAAGGTCCAGAGTGACCCAGTCCCCTGGGGAGCTGGGGGTTGGGGGGAGGAAAGGGTAGGGCAGGAGGGAGGCTGGGATGGCATATCCCAAAGTCCATTCTGCAGTGAGAATCAGCAGCCTCATGTGTTTCTCTTTTCCTGTTGAAGTCCAACCTCAACTCTGCTCACAAGGGTCCGACCACAGCCCAGCTGGTGGAGGTCAAATTCCACCCGTCCCCGCCTCTTCTCAGGCCTGACCCCTCCTGGGTGCTGATGTCTGTGGATGCCTGGTCTCATCTCAGTCTGCCCTGTCCTCGGTCCCTCCCACTGCTCTTCCTCAGCCTCCTCTGCTGCCTTCTTGTCCATTTGGCCTCTAGTTTACCCACAGCTTGGTCCTTGCCTGTCTTCTCCTCTTGGGCCATCCCAGGGCCCCCCAGCCAGTGTGCCTGAGGAACCAAGGGTGGCTTCCACAGAGATGATCCCTCAGCTGGGATGCCTCAGTCTCTAGGCTGCTGACCTACCGGGGAACAGCCAATTCTGCTGACCACAGACTTGTCCACAGATATTGTCACTATCAGCGTGGGCCCTGCCATGGAAAAGGCTGGAACACACTGCGGGCTTCACTCTGCTAGAATCAGTCTTTCAGGCTCAGGGTGTTCAAATTCCATCTATGTGGCAATGGCTCCCAAGTCTCTGACTCCAGTCCTGACCTCACTCCTGAGCTCCAGATCCTACTCTGCATCTCCACGTGGATATGTCAGGCATCTCAAGGTGAATATACTTAAGACAGAAATCTCAGTTGGGACCTGCACCACTGTATTAGTTTCCTGTTGCTGCTGTAACAAATTATCACAAACTTAGTGGCTTAAAACAACACAAAGTTATTATCTTACAGTTCTAAAGGTCACAAGTCTAAAGTGGGCCCACAGGGCTGGGTTCCTTCTAGAGGCTCTAGGGGAGAACCCATCTCCTAGCCTTTCCCAGCTTCTAGAAGCCACCTGTATTCCTGGGTTCATAGCCCCTTCCTTGCATCACTCTAACCTCTTGCACCTCTCATCACGTCTCCTACCGACTGACCCTCCTGCCTCCATCTGATAGGACCCTTGTGATTGCATTGGGCCCATCCCAATTATCCAGGAGAATCTCCCCATCACAAGATTCCTCACTTAATCACATCTTCCTTTTACCATATAAAGTAACATATTCACAGGGATCAGGACGTGGATATTCTGGGAGGGGCTACTATTCAGCCTACCACACCAGCCCTTCCAAACCTGCTACATTCCCAGTTTCCCCAGCTCCATAACTGGCATCACTATCCTTGTTCGTTTCTCAAGCTATTGGCTCAATCTTCAAAATAGACTCATAATCTGAGCACTTCTCACCATTTCCATTGCCCCATCCCTGCTCGTGTCCCCATTCATCTCTTGCCTGGACTATTTCAGTAGCCTTTTTGCTACTCCCAGCTTCCTCCCTTGCCTTCCAAGCTCTGTTCTCCACCTGACAGAGATGATCTTCAGAAAATGTAAATCAGATCATGAAACGCCCCTGCGAATGCAACAAAGCACAGTCAGCTTCCTGCCCACCTCTCTGACCCAGTCTCCTCCCTCTCTCCTCAAGCTGGTTCCCACCTCTGGGCCTTTGCACTGGCTATTACATCTGCCTGGGACACTTTTCCTCCAGATCTTTGAATGACTGTTTCCTTCCTAGCTTCACCTTCACTTAAATGTCACCTGTTCTGAGAGCCTTTGCTGATGGCCCTACCCCCCAGTCACTCCCTATTATATTGCCTCTTTTTATTTGCCTCTTAATGAATACTATTTGAAATTATCTTGCTTATTCATTTGTTTCTTATCCATCCTCTCCCTGCCTGGAATGTTCACTCCCTGAGAGAGGGACTTGGTCTGTCCTATTCACCATAGTAACCTCAGCACCCAGAGCAGTTCCTGCCACGTGGTAGGAGCTCAATAAATACTTGTGGAATGAATGAATGAATAATTATATCCTCAAGGCTTCACACTGAATCTTCACGCTGAGATCTAGCCTTGAACTCCAAACTGAAACCACGAACACATCACAATACTAATCTTGAGATCTCATCCCCCGTCTCCTACCCTGAAATCTAACCTCACCACCCCCTTGACCTTTCCCTTCCCTGACCCTGGCTTAAAGAAAGACGCGGTCAGTTTCTCACTCTCCTTCCGTGTTTTAAGGAGCTAGCCAGTGAGAGCTGAAGGAACAGGGAAGCTCAGGGGCCCTGTGAGCACAGTCGGAGGGAAAGAAGGTCCTGTAACAGGAAGTATAGCCCACCCTCTCCTAGGGAAAGGCTACAGAGTCCCATCTTAAGGCTCATGGAGAGGGCGCTCCCAGCAATCCCTAAACCCAAGAAGAGTAAAAAGTGCGTGCGCCTTTAAGAGGAGGGTTGGAAAACAGAGGGGGCGTGGACATAAAAGAAGCCTCAGCCTGGGCCAGGTGGGTGTAATAAGACCGGCCCCTTCCGGTTACGTAAGCCTAGCAAGATGGCGGCGCCCAGGGCGGTAGGTGACCGGAGCTCCTGGACTCCCAAAATTGAAGTCCGCTCTGCTGCCTCTGCCTCCAGGGCCTCTGTCGGCGCCCAGGGATCAGGAAGCGAGAGGGAGCAGGAGGCCTCTCCCGCTGGGCCTCGCGCTGGGACGTAGACGTGTGGCCCTTGGGGGCCGGGAAGCAGCCGTGGCGGTGGCAGAGAAGCTTTAGAGAGGCGGGGACTTGGAAGGGAACAACCAATGGGGAAGCAGGGAGTGCGTTCGGAAGGTGACGCATCAGCCAATCGGCGCGAGGGATCCTACTGCGGGCGCAGGGAGTCATGGGCGGGCGAGAGTGGGTCCTTCCTATCAGGCAAGAGGGTTTAGAGCGGATTGGCGGAGAAAGTGTGCTTTGAGGTCCAAGAGTAGGAGACCAAAGGATACAGGTGAGGGAAACTCATAGGAGAGTTAGGAATTTTGATGGAAAACCAAAGGGATAATGGGGGGGTTGGGGGGACAGGAACCAAGAGGTGAATTGGCGAGTTCCAAGGGAAGGACCTGGGGGAAGTTAAGGGGAGCATTCGCGATATTCGTGGAGAGAATTCGGGAAGAATTAGGTAAAATCAAGAAATGGATTTAGGGAAAATTAAAGTAAGAAGCGGGGAGCTAGAGGAATTTTGAGGGAAAATAAGGATTTGGGCAAAATTATTCGGAGAATTTGGTTAAAGCCAAAAGAGAAATTTGGGCAGGCTAAGAGAAGACTTTGGAGGGGAAATTGGAGGAGGAGTTTGGGGGCTTTAAGAGGTTAGTTAAGGGTGGTTTGGAGAGAAATTAAGGTTATATTTTGGGAAAAGAAACGGGTTATTCAGGCAGACTCCAGGGAGAATTGGATAAAATCAGGGGAATAATTTGTAGGAAATTAAGAGGTCAAATAATAGAGGTTTTGAGAGAGAAAAATAAGGGTTGGGGGAGAATTTGAGAAAACCAAGAATGTTTGGCCAAATCAAAGAGAGAATTTAGGGTTCATTAAGGGGGAGAACTTGGGTAAACATGGGGAAATTTGGGGATCCCAAAGGCAGCATCTGGAAGTTCTGAAAGGAGAATTTAGTGAGCTGGGAAGCATTGGGGTAGTGGGGGATTCGTGGAGCAAGATCGGGAGGATCTGGGTCTGTCTCTCACAGGAGGCTCCAGGCTCAGCCCCTCATCTCCTCTCCTCCTCCCCAGTTCCTGCACCTGGCGTCCTCAATATGGAAATGGGGTCCCAGGGACATCCGTGGCCTGAGCAGGACAGTGGCCCCAGAGGGCAGTTGGAGGAAGGGGAGGGCGCTGCTCCAGTTCCTGGCTGACCACTTCTATGATGTCAAGGCTCTGAGGGAGTATCTGTTCCGAAAGCAGGTGTTGAAGGTGCACCAGAAAAATCGGTGAGAACTCCTGACGTGCAGGATTCTGCCACTCAGGCCGCACTAGGCAGAACCCAGATTCTGCCCTTGCCACTCCCAGGCAGCCCTGTGGTTTCCAGTACCAGCCTTGCCGGCTTGCATCTTCATCTCCAGCCCACACCCTTCCCAAGGACTGCAGCTCACACAGGCAACCTGCTGCCCACCATCTCCTCTTGGAGGTCTAGACTGGCACCTCAAAAACTCTGCTCACCCCCAAGCGTTCCCCATCCCAGTAAACAGCACCACTGCCCACCCTGTCGTTCAGGCCAAATTCTAAAGAGTCATCCCTAATTCCTCTCTTTGCTTCTCTGCCCTCCACATCCAGTCCATTACCAAAATAGACAACATTACCATTTTGCTTAAAACCCCACATTGGTTTCCAATTGCAACTAGAATAGAAGCCAAACTCTAAGGCCTAAAAACCTAGTCCCTCCTGAGCTTCGGGACCCCTGCCAGGGACTCCCCTCACCCCCGCCAACATGGCATCCTTATTGCTCCTTGTTCCATCATCCTCATCTGAGCCTCTGAGCCTTTGCACTAGCTGCTCCCTTGGCCTGGCAGGCTTTGCCCTTCTGCATTCCTTCTCACCACTCGGATCTCTGCTCAAGGGTCACTTCCTCCAAGAAGCATTTCTTAACCCCCAAACTAAATTAGCCTCCTCCATCCCCACCCCTGACCCGAACCACTCCTGATCAGTCCCTGTGTTTTATTTTCATCGTGGAATTGATACTGTCTGCAATTGGCTTTTACTCCCTGGTTTATTTTCTGTGTCCTCTGTAAAATAGCTTCACGAGGGCAGGGACGGTTGTCTGTCTTTGTCACCACTCTCCCGGTGCCCAGCACTTAATAGGCACTCAGTAAATATTTGCAGCCTGACTCTGTCTGTCTGTCGCCCCTGTCTGTCAGCCAGTCCTGGTGCTGTGGACTCTGACCCTCTCAGCACCAGGGCATAGTGATGGGTGCAGTGCTCCCCAGGCCTTACCCTCGGCTCCTGTTCTCTCGGCAGATCCTTCACCCACATCAAGGAGCAATACGGCCCGTACATCGCAGGTGCCTATTTCGTCCTGAAGCAGGGAGGCGCAGTCAAGTACGACAGCAAAGGTGTCAGAGGGGGCCTGGGGGAGGCACTAGAGTATCTCTCTAAGCCCTGGGCTCTGCAGTCAGACAGGCTTCCCTGTGAGTCCCCTGCTCTTTGCCCCCTGCTGGCTGTGTGACATGGGTCTTGTTCCTGAGCTTCAGTCTTGTC